ACCATGATTAACAGATAAATTGAAGAATTTTTCTAAAGTATAAAAATGTTTGATAACACCAATCTCTGATCATGTGGTTGAAAATTTGTTAAATATCTTGGTTAGGCTAATTTTGTCACTAAATTTTCTTGCAGTTTTTCAATATTTTGGTGACTTTACTTTCATTGTTTGAAAAATATTTTCATCTTTAGAGACTTTTCTTATGTAAAAAAATGAACAAAAACCTAAAACTGAATTTGAAACAAAACAGGAGAAACAAATTAATTTCTAAATTTCTTTTCTAAATTTTGAAAATCCAAACAGATTCCTAAAGTGGTTGCATACAAAAAAAAACAAAAAGAAAGTCTTAAGTCTCAGATATAGAAATTAAAAATAAAATCTTATTTTCTCATGTACCCTTTTCACAAGTTATGAGCAGAAAACAAAAAATTCTCTTAAAATACCCAACTATTTGTAATGACTTCTCTAAAACATTGTATTTTGAGTAAATATAAGTCACTCTGAAAGTAATGACTTCTATTAGCTCATGATGTCAAAAGCAAACATTGATGGCATGGCAGTAGAGACTGAGCCTTCCTGTCAATAACCCATGTTTCTTATTAATTTATTTTTTAGTTTTGTTACAGATAGCAGTTGAGCATTGTTCTAGTAAAATGGAATCTGACATGAAAATGCATGTAAAAGAGGTGCATCATTGAATACAAAAAAAAAAGTTTCTCCCATTGACACACTTTCTGATTGTTTATAGAGACCAAACAGTGGATGTAAACACAGTTAAGTAGTGGATAGTGTGTTTCAGCATTGTTGCTGTGAAAAAGTGGTTTGTCTTCATTGGTGTCAGTTTTGTCACATGCAGCATGTGACTTCATATTGAATGGTGGTGACTTTGCAGAAAAATGCCTCCATCCAACAGTGCCATTATTCTAAGTGTTTGTGTGAAAATAAATAGAAGGCATTACTTTTGGAACATCCCTCATATATGCAAAAAAGAGTATATCTTTAAGATCAGCAGAACTTAGAAATGTTTTGTTAGTGCACTGTTCCCAGAACTGAATACACATATGGAACATTTAAAAATCACAAAAAGAGGAAATGAACAGATACTAATTATTAATAATAATATTATTTTCAAACATTATATTTGTTTCAAATATATAAAAGCATCTCTACACAGTGTCACTTTGCCAAACAGCCATAAAGTGATTAAGATGACAACATCAGCTCAGATAAATGAAGTACAGAGTTTATAACAGTTCTTACACAGGAACATACATTGGTATCAGATGATTAAAATAAGTCAAAATCAAACATAGAAACTGCAAGAAAAAAAAAAAAAAAAAAATTTGTATTGTGATTGCAAATGAAGATAAAAGGGATTGCAATGTATCTTCAAAGATGAAGAATTTGTTCTCAGACACCACCCTGCCCTTGTAAGAGAGTTTGAAATAACAAACCATAACAATCTAACATAATGGAGAAAATCCATGGAATTTTCTCCATATTTCCACACATTAAATTCCTGACCTGGAATCGTATTTAACCTTTGTAGAGTGGCAAATAAATGTAACTTTTGGCCACCAAATACTGTGTTGGTGAGGGCCACTTCATAGAAAAATAATATTAAACCAAAAGTACTGGTACGAAAATATAAAAAATTTTGGACAACTTTAACTGAAATTTTGTTAGTCCCTTCCTGATCTTAGTTGGCTGGAATTAAATTTGGTTTATGCTTTACAAATATGTTTGATGTGAGGCAAAACAAAAATATTATTTGAATTGGACAACTCACTATAGAGCAACTGTCAGCATGCTAATCTGACAGATCATTATTTTATAATGAATTTGGTCCTCACAGGGTGCTCTACTCTTGAGCTAAACCAAGCTGCTTAGAAGTCTTAAATAACTTTCTCTATTGACAAATTTCAGACATATTTATATTGCATTAGTTTTATATAGTTTAACATTATTCACGTGTAGACTATCGTCCTCATCTTTGTTGTCCAAACATAAATAATGATAATTCCTCATCTGAGAAATTCCAACAGAATTTAACTTAAACCCAATATTTTTTCTCTTTGAAGCTCCAGATTTTATGAAGGGACATTCTGAGTGACCTTTCCTCTTGTGCAGGATAGAATGCTTCAAGATGGCTAGGGTTTGCATATATATGGTTTGTGCATTTAAATGTGCAGATTCCCTTCAAATGCAGACAGTGAATTAATTTCATGCTTTTATAGAATATTTGTCAACTTTTGTGAATTTTACATTCTTCAGATTCAACAAGCACTCTTGATGAAAGTTCAGTCAACAGAAGAGAATTTCTCATTTGTTTACTGAAGACATTGATTCTTTAAGTGAAACTGTTGACTGTAAAAAAAAGTGGGATAACTCAAATCATTAATCTCGACACTGGTAAAGTTTGTTGCAATTGTTTCAAATTGACCAAACTGAGAAGAGAAAAAAAAAAAAGATTTTATAAGCAAGATGAAAATCAATTCAAATATACAATACATAACCAGGATTTTTTTACCCTTAAATTCCTTTTGCCTTACAGATGGATTGAGAATTTGCCATTTTTCACTTCTACAAGATTCTTTTTTTATTACAATTATCAATTTAAAGAGATTTAATATTTTATTCTTAATATAAATTATGTCATTCATTTCTGAAATTATGCACTGTCGTTCTGTCAAAGTGGAAAATAAATTTTTTTCTCAATTCTTCAGTCTGTTAGTTTTTATTTATTAAACAAAATCAAATTCAATAATAAAGAAATAATTGACTTTTCTTTTTATATTTTTTCCTAAATAAAATCATACATGAAAATGTTTTATTTTAAAGGGAAATTTTATAACTTAAAATTTTTAAAAAATGACATTGCTCAAATTCAGTTGACCATAGCAAAGGAATGTTTCCATTCCAAGAAAAAAAAAAAAAAAAAAAAAAAAAAAAAAAAAAGGAATTTTTTTTTTTCCTTTCTAAACAAATCAAGCAAAAAATAAATTAACCATTTCATGGATTTACAAATGTTATAAAAGAAAGTGAAGTTATACGGGTGGAAGGTTACAGAGATTTTGGGTGGCTTATACACGAGAAGGTTAATTTTTTTTTTTTGTCACCAGAAGGTAATCACAAATTTAATTGTACACATCTACTCTAGCGTAAAAAGGTGTTTATTATGATACTACTCCAATGTCATGATTATAAAAATATATTTGATCTTTGAGGACAAGAAAGCAAAAATGATTGTGAGAGCAGTATGGAAATAATTTAACCCTGATACTAGAGTATAGAATGAGGACTTTGTCTAAAAGGGGTTTATAAATATAAATTGTATAAATTATTAAAGAAAAATGTCTTAAAATAAAGAATCTCATAAAGCATGCTCAATAAAACTCAGTGCAATTGTCATGTTAATAAAATTAGGAGCAATCAAACTCAGGGTATTGCTGTGAAAAAAAAAAAAAAAATTTAAATTGACAAAAGACAAAATATGAGAAAAGAAAATATTACACTTCAGTCTGGAAACTGAAATTTATTGTTTTAGAATAAACCTCTGATATTTGTAAAATCTTCAATACCCCAGTTTCATTTAAGTCTATTTACAGAATCACAATTAGGGCGGGAAAAAAATGAAGAACATTAGGAAATCTAACAAAGTTTAAAGAATCCATTCTTTTGAAAATTACACAAAAAAGTTACAGTAATTTTTTATCAGAATTTCAAATTTTAAACAAATTTCAAAAGTTTAAAAATGTTTTGGTCAAAAAATTAAATGCGAAATGAAAAACAACTAAAATAAAAATATTTCTTTAAAAATTTTTTTTTTTTTAAATCTGCCTCTACTCAAGGAAATATGAATTTTAAAATGCAATAATTTTTTTTTTAGTAATTGGGTATTACTCATTTATTCTTATTCAATGTGAAGAATAGAAAGATGAAGGGTGAAAGAAGCTTGATTAATAAAAATGTTGGACAAATAGGTAAATGATTTGAGCATTTCAAGTCAAAAGCTTTTTAACAATAACTTAAGAATTCAGTGGTTTACAAAAGAGTAGCCCAACCCCATGACATCAAAAGTTGATAATTATAGGTTTAGACATTTTCAAATGTATTTATTTGATGTTAATAACAAATTTCTCTCAATGATTTGAGTGAATATAAATATGGCAGCATTAATCATTTAAAAAAAAAAAAAAGAAAAAAAAAAATGGATTTTTTAAAACAAACAAAAAACTAATTTTATTTTGGAATTATGTTTTTGTGTGTTCATTTTCACTCAATGTGTGGCAGGAAGAGGCTGATTTTTTTTAATACAAAACAGAATGTTTTTTAGTAATTTGAAGACATTTTCTGCATAAAAATAGTTTCAGAGACTTTTAAAGACATTTTAAAAAAAAAAATTATGGGTAGAAAAACATTTCAAATTTTTTTATTTTAAATAATGAAGATTTTTCTTTGAATAACAGACAATGCAAATTGGTACCTTGTGCTTTGATACTGCAGGAACTAAATTTCAACAACAGAATTCTACATTTCATTCTAAAATGCTTCAGTTCATTAATGTTTACAACTTGGTTCAATTTATAACAATTCTTTCAGCACCAAAAAATCATTCATTATGATAGAGTCATAGGAAAAAAAGTTTTGTTTTTACATATATAATTTATATAAGGATCCATTAGAAATCAGTTGTTTACTTTCATTAAATAGTGAAGCATATTTGATCAGCAATAACATTTTTATGCTAAAAACAATATTGCGACATGTGCCCCCCCAAATATATATGCCTGTAGAATGTATAGATATAAGGATGTGATCTGAAGACAAAGGAAGGATTTGGGGAGAATTTGTTAAACATTTTCTTTACTGACTTAAATATCTTAATTATTGTTCTTCATAACTTAATCTTTATCAGTTATTTTTACAGTCTGGAGTTTTTTGGGGTTTTTTTTTCCTTATGCTTAGAGCATGGCATAAGAAAACTTTTGGCAAATGTTTCATCTGAAATGCAGAAGACAAAAGTTTGAAAGGCCACACACTTGTGGGAGAAGAGAGAGAAAAAAAGAGATGATGAGAGAGAGAAAAGTGAAGACATGAGAGAGAGAGAGAAAAGTGAAGACATGAGAGAGAGAGAGAAAAGTGAAGACATGAGAGAGAGAGAAAAGTGAAGACATGAGAGAGAGAGAAAAGTTGGAAAAGAGAAGAAAAGTGAAGAGAGAGAGAGAGAAAAGTGAAGACATGAGAGAGAGAGAGAAAAGTGAAGACATGAGAGAGAGAGAGAAAAGTGAAGACATGAGAGAGAGAGAGAAAAGTGAAGACATGAGAGAGAGAGAAAGAAAAGAGAGAGAGAAAGTGAAGAGAGAGAGAGAGAAAAGAGACATGAGAGAGAGAGAAAAAGAAGACATGAGAGAGAGAGAAAAGTGAAAACAAGAGAGAGAGAAAGATGAAGACATGAGAGAGAGAGAGAAAAAAAAGATGAGAGAGAGAGAGAGAAAAGTAAAGAGAGAGAGAGAGAGAGAAAGAGAGAGAGAGAGAGAAAAGAGATATGAGAGAGAGAAAAGTAAAGATATGAGAGAGAGAGAGAAAAGTAAAGATATGAGAGAGAGAGAGAGAAAAGTAAAGATATGAGAGAGAGAGAGAAAAGTAAAGATATGAGAGAGAGAGAAAAGTAAAGATATGAGAGAGAGAGAAAAGTAAAGATATGAGAGAGAGAGAAAAGTAAAGATATGAGAGAGAGAGAAAAGTAAAGATATGAGAGAGAGAGAAAAGTAAAGATATGAGAGAGAAAAAAAGACGACAGAGAGAAAAAAAAGACGACAGAGAGAAAAAAAAGACGACAGAGAGAAAAAAAAGACGACAGAGAGAGAGAGAAAATTAAAATGTAAAAAAATACTAAATTAAATAACTAAAAGAAGAAATAACTTAAAAAAAGAGAGAAAAAACTTTTAAAAATCTGATAACTACAAGACCACAGTTGAAGCTGTTAATGGTGCACTGGGAATTGGTGTAGTATCATTTTTAGGTACCATGGTAGGGCTGTTAGTGTTGCTGGGTTGGGCAATGTGTGTGTTACTTCCCATTTTTAATAAAGTGTCTGCCACCCAAAAATGTTCAAGATTTTCACTTGGATGCAGGCTGGCAGAACTCATCATCATGACAACATCTAATGACTGCCCTCCACTGACAGTTTTTGGTGATGAAGGAACATCCAACTGCAATTCACTGACATCTTTTGAAGATGAAGGAAGATTTTGACTGTCTGAAAGAATGAAAGAAAAGATAAAAGAGAAATGAAAAAATAGTTTCTGATGAAGTCTCTTAGAGTCTAAAGTTGGAATATTTTGTCTGATTAAGAATCCAGAAATTTAAAAAAAATTTTGTGATGACAAAATGTCAGGAAAAATGGTGAAGAAAATTTGAGAAATAATTTAGAAACAAATGGTATTTGGTGAAATTAGTTGTTTCCATTTTTAGTCAGTATTCTTTAAATGAAATGTCAGGTGAAATTAAAATCTATTACTTAAAATAGTTTTTCAGGAAATTAGACTTCTCAAGTCCACTGTTATTGCTTTTTCTAGTATTGACAGGAGTTTCCTTCCTGACTTTTTGTTTGAGGTTGAGTGGAAAGTCAATATCTTGATTATATCATTATTTTCCCTTCTAATTACATTTGCCACCTATTTTAGTTGTTGCTGTTGTTGGAAGTCTTTAAATAGTGTGATTTTGTTATTTAGTAAGGCTCCTTATTATTTTGTAGAATCAGCCTATAGGGTCTGATGTAGTATTGTTTTCTTTGGGGCTTAAAGCATTTAATCGCAAGAAGCTATTTTTTAATCACCGATCTGAGAAAATGGTTGTTCATAGCTTACACATTTCTGAATGAGTTAGACACCATGCATGACATCCACATGAAAGGCAGAGAAGGTAAAGAATGGATAACAAACAAAAAAGATAAACTTCTTTTTAAAAGAGAGAAATCATTCAACTTTTTGAAATTTTCATCTTTAATCACAGGTTTTCTCATCAGGAAAGAAATCAAATTTTGACAAGTCATGAAATTCTTTAAAGAATAAAAAATTCTTATTGTTAATCTCTTCATTAGAGTTACATTCTCTAATTTTAATTTTAGTTTTTTCCTCATAGATTTTGTTTTTTACTTTCTATGCATGTACAAGGATGGGCTGAAAACTTCATAGGCTGACTATGTAGGAGCAATGCTAGAGCTGTGAAATTTTGCATGTATTAATTTTAACTCTTCTTACTAATAAATGCATTGTTTATTTTCAAGTAAACTGACATCTGACTGTTCAAAGAAAACTTTAAATGTAACTAGTAGCAACTTTTCTCTTGAAAATTTGGTATTGTGGTTTTATCAAGGACCTGCAGAAAAGGGTTTAGCCCTCAAGAACATTCATGCTGACATGATTGCTACATTAGGGGATAACATTCCAGCTTACATCAACAACAGTGCAAAAGTGAGGAGCTGAATTTAAGAGGGGAAAGGGAGAGTCTTGAAGAAGGCCCAAGGTCTGGAGGTCCTGCAACTGCCAAGGAAAACATTCATCACCAGACTGATCACAACACAGAAAAATCTGACAATGTTTGAGGCAGATCCAGCTGGTTTCCTTGAATGTTTCCTAGCCCAGGATGAGTACAGAGACAATCCATGCAGTGGAAACACCCACTCCTCACATGCTCCAAAGAAGGCTAAGTTAGTTTCATCTGTAGGGAAGGAGATGGCATCAGTGTTTTGGGGATGTAAAAGGCACTGTGTTTATTGACTATCTTCAATAGGGTGACATCATCAACGGAGAGTACTATGTCAACTTGCTGAGGCAGTTAGAAAAGGCTATCAAGATGAAATGTGCGAGAAAACAAGGGAAAAAAAAAAACAACTTCTTGTGAAACAAAAACGAACGCATACTTGCGACAAAAAAAGGAAAGCCTTCTTGTGACACAAAAACGAACGCCTTCTTGCGAACGAACACTTTACAACAGCAAACGAGCAAAACGGCACACAAGACTGCTGCCGATGGACGACCGACCGCAATGGCTTTTGTCGCCCAAGAAAAGACACCAAACGACTCGCGCGTCTCCTTGTAGTCCTCGGTCGAATCCATTATGGTACTCCAAGGTGTGCCCGGCGACAACACACACACGCAATTCAAGGATGTTTCTGCACACGCTTGTTACACTCCTCCCTGATCTCTAGATCACAGAAATGGCAATGTGGGGCAAGCCGTTTCTGCCTGGTGCTCCGTCTCAGTGGTATGGTCTCAAGCGCTTCCTCAGTCGTGCTCTCTTCAGACGTCTTGCTGAGCTCATCCCGCATAGGTTTATCAGGCACGCTACTCTCTGAGGTGTGCTCTTCCTGTGATTTTATATATACCATCGGGGCTTCATCATCATCAGAAGAAAAAGAACTAACGTGGTTGCTGACGGAATAATCCTTCCCGCACGCTGGACGCACGTCTTTTATGTGGTGCGGTATTCCATCAACAGAGACAGAGTGTGGGCTATTAATTTGTGTCACCGTACCCTTGTTGAATTGTGTCGTACACCTTCCATGCGGATTTTTCACCCAGACAGTCTCTCCTAACGTATAAGGATTGGCAACTGTGTCGTCACGCACCAAAGCTGCGTCGATACCCATAATGCGGACCCTGTAAGTGTAGGTTGCATTCACCGGTGCAGTTGAAGCTGTTTTATTGTCCGTTGGGGTAACATTGTGCCAATATACAGCTTCCAAAACTGAACACCGTGTTCTCGTCACAATGCACTTTATTGTACGATGGGATTTCTCAACTATCCCATTCCCCGATGGTACGTGGGCACAGTGAAATCATATTTGTACATTCCACTCTTTGCCAGCGTGGCAAACCTCTCTCCGCAAAACGCTGCGCCATTATCCGTAAGCAGCTCAACCAGCGTCCCTCTTTCACAAAACACTACTTCCAGCTCCTTGATGATGCTAGCAGAGTCTTGGTGGTGCAAGGGCTTCCAAATGGCAAAACGACTGGGACCACAGTCTATCAGCGTCAGGTATAGTTGATGTCCGAAATGGGTTACATCCATCGCAACCCTGTGCCAATTTTCCGCGACATCAAGCCTCCTCGGTTTCCAATGCACTGGGGCCGGGTCAATTGACTGGCATTCCTTGCATCCCCTAACCACCGCTCGCACCTCAGATTTTGTTACTCTTGGGTTGATCAACTTCACAAAATGGAATGTTCTCTTCACACCAGGATGTCCGCTGGATTGACGAATGGCTCATACTTGAGCAACATCTCGCTCTTCAGCCACAGTGCACATGGGTTCTGTTATTTTGCGCATTTCATTTAACCATCGCTGCGGTACTCTAGCAAGTTGGTCAGCTCGATTGTTACACGACTTGACAAGCTCGTATTCTAAGGCCAACTCTTGGAGTGTGGCTAGCCGACGCCTGATTAGCATCTCGGAGGCTGCCTTGGTGTGCACTCTCATCCATCCGGACAGAGTGTCAGCTACCCAGCGATGCACACATGCTGAATCTGTCCGTAAATGAATGGTTTTGGCCTTCCATTGTAATGAAAGGTGGACACCTCGCAACACAGCATCGAGCTCAGCTAAGTTGATGTGCTTGTCTTTGTGCACCAGTCGGAGCCAGCTTGCATCTTCTGCCACGGCGCCATTCCTCTCCACAACCACACTGGTGGCTAAGGAGCATGCATCTACCCACACGGTTACATTTTGCTCACTGATGCACCAGTCACCTTTCACTGGATCGTCCTGGGCTAGTCTCTTAAAAATGTCATCGATCAGCTGGGCTAGAAAAGGGTCCTGCACTTCATTGTTCCATCCAGTGGTAACAGTGTTTGCCCTCTGCTTCACAAATGCCGTGGCGACACGTAACCAACCACATACAGGAAAATGGCCAGTCAGCTTCCCGCACAGCAAGAAGACAATTCGGCGGGTAAGTTTATTGGAGACTACCAGAAGTTCACATCCGCAGCGCCATCGCAGTTTTCCTTGCTCCTCCCAGATATGCAATCCCAGTACGCGTGTGCCAATTCTTAGCCACTCCAGGGTCTTACTTGACAGACCAAAAAAAAAAAAAAAACAACTTCTTGCGACACATGAATTTCCTAGGATAACTGACAAAAGGGTTTTGCTTCATCAGGACAATATTCTAGCAGAAAAGTCCTTGGTTTCAATAGCTGCTGTGCATGGCTGTGTCTTTGAACTGGTTGATCACCCTCCATATTCTCCCAATTTGACTATCATCTGTGTCCCTACATGAAAAAACACTTGGCTGGTAACAAGTATCACAGTGATGATGACATCATATCTGCTGTTGATGACTATTTTGACCAACAATTTGAACAGTCTTATTGTCAGTTTACCTGGAAAGGAAGAATGAAGTTATTAATAAGAAGAATTGAAATTAAAGCATGCAACATTTCACAGCCCTAGCATCACTTCTTCATAGGCAGACCATCCTGTATTTAATATAAAAAGAAAATAAATTCCTTTGTACTTATAATAGAGACGGTTATGGCAATAAATATGAATATATTAAAAAAAAAATCATTGTGCATCCTGCTTATTAATGAAGTTCTAAGCAGGTTTTTTTTTTTTTCAAGTGGATCGTCATCTTTTCATTAACGTTCCTATTTTATAATAGAACAAACCATGTACACCAGATTTGTGCTTTCAGCTGATTTTTTAATTTAGCTGCTTTTAAAGATTTTATTGCATCCAAAAATATTTTCTCTGCAAAGAAAAATGTTGAAATGCAGAAATCAATTTTCAATGCACTAAACTTTTTAATTTCTGCATGCTTATGGGTCACAGGTCACTCTCCCTATCAAATATACAAACAGACTATCGGGGAAAAAGTGAATAGGCAGAATTTTATTTGCTAAACAATTATAATTACTTTAATATTAAGATAAAATTAATCAAAAACTCAAAATGGCACACATGAAAAAAATAGCTTTTAATGATTGTTTCTTTCATGCAGTTTTTCTCACATGATGCAGAAAAATTTTTTAACTGACTGAACCCAACAAAATATCAGAAGCAAAAGGTTGCACACACACACATTTATATATATATATATATATAAAACAGGTTTTAGTTCCCAGCAGTCTTCAAAATACTAACTTTATAAATATAAGATAAAAACTCAGATGATCTAGGCTTTCAGTTATTTAGGAAAGTGAAAAGATTTTCAAACAAATATGATAAAAAAAAAAAAAAAAAATTAAAAAATAATTATAATTGCAAACAATTTTGACCAATTTGAGAAAATGTCAGAAAAATGACATAAACTGAAGTGGGGAGAAGAAAGATAATCAGAAGAAAGAAGTTGATCCCCAAAAAGTTTGAGACATTAGCACACTGAATGACTTTCCTCTCCCTGACATGTAAAAATGGACTCAATAACATGTGTGATGTAATAAGTAAAGAGGTAATGTAGCAGTGGCAGCTAGGATTTAACACCATTTGCTTGCAGCATGATTGTTGGCACAACAAAAATTAGACATTCCAAGATAATAATTGCTTTAGGTTTTTAGCAAACAACAGTAACAAAGTTAGTAGAAAAAGAATATATAAATTCTAGACAAACATCAGTGGTACGTGTACCCTGCAGGCATCTACAGGTGATAGCAAAACAGGACTTTCAGTGACTGACAACAATATTAACCAGCCAATGAAGGGGGAAATGGCATGATCCTAATTCAACATCGGTGCTACTGACTTCCCCTCTGTCATCAAACACAAATTGTGTAATATCTCTATCATAGTATGAGAAGTTTCCAGACTCATCAAAAGCCTTGACCTAAAAAGGCTCTACTGGGTCTGGATAAAATCCTGGTGATTATCTCCAATCTTGACAAAATTGTTTCACTACTTCCCAAAGGAGAAATGCTTCCCAAATCTATGAAGATATTAGCTGCATGCTCTGTTTTCAAGAAGGCAGGTGAGTACTCATCCCAGTTGTAATATTGACCCATCAGCCTTCTTAATGTCAACAGCAAACACTTTGAGTCTATGATCAACAGAAATCACCTACTGAGTGACAAGTAATATAGACTTCTCTTTTCTAGGTCCACTGCTGATGTCCTAACTACTATTACACAGAAAATCAGTGAAACAGGAGACAAATTCCTCACAAGTGCAATCGCCTTAGGTATATCAAAGGCCTTTGACAATATGTAGTACAAGAGATTGCTTTACAAACTTTCCAGCTATGGAATTTCTGAAAGAGTTCTCAAAATTATTAAGTCCCGCCTAACAGGTAAGTACATTAAGGTTGTTGTTAATCATTAGTCTTCTGAAGATCATGAAATCAATGCAGCCATTGCCCAAGGCACTCTTCTTGGTCTTACCTGGTTTCAACTTTATATTAATGATCTGTATAACAACATACTCAGATCATTAGTAAATATCCATGCAGATAATACCACAGTGTATAGGTGTACCTACAAAAATCTTGATGATCAAAGCCTGACAGCTGATCTTTCATCTGACCTAGCTCTAAGAACTCAATGGGAGAAAAATTGGCTTGTAACATTCAATACACACAAAACCACACAATTCATCTTCACTAAGTAGATCGAGTTTTCTCCACACATGATGAATAGTTGTATTCTCAATGAAGCTCCTTGCCTTGAATGTTTATTGGGACTCAAATTCACCCCAGACCTCATAGAACTCATATAAAAGATTCATTGCTAAAAGATGCTGGAAAAATGGTTCATTCCTTATACCACTCCAGTAAGTACCAAACTCATCCTGCTATGCTTTATCTTTACAAGAGCCAGATCAGATAAAAATAAATGGAGTAATATCTCGACTGGAGCTGCCCAGGCCTTACTTTCCAGTCTTGATAGAATTCAAAATTGTCCATGCAAACTTGTGGGTGAATTATTTTCCACTCTATAATCTCTTTCCCCACAGACAAAATATTGTAAGCTAGACTATCACTATTTCCATAGCAAATGTTCTGACAAGCTATGTTCCTTAGTACCGCCAGTTATGACCTTCACAACTAAGACCCACCATGCCACATACACAGAGAGCAATTATCCCCATTCTCTTTGTGTTCCTTTAATACAACAGCTTCTTCCCAAGAACTGCTACTTTGCAGACTCTTGAGATTATGCTTCATCAAACACTACAATCTTAACCTCTTCAAGTCAAAGGTCAACTGTTATCTTTCCTATGTATACACATAAAAAGCACTTCTTACATCCTCTTCTTCCGTTCATACAAAAAAGCTTACACAGTAATCCTATACGTTGAGTGGCTCTTGGGCCTTGTACTTAGTGAACAATTACTAAAAAAAAACTGCATGGGATTTTGTACTTGTTGATCAACAAGAATATGATTATTAAAAGTGCAGTACCCTTTATTGTGAGCCACAAAATATTGCTATTAAACTATAGCAGAATGATGTCATGTCGTTTGCTCTGATGACTAACTTTTGAGCAGACAGTCAAGTTCAGGTATTAATGAGAATGCATGATCAGCAGCAGGGCATTATGGTGGGTCTTTTCTGTTGGAGTTCACAAGGACCCCAAGTGAAACCAGAGTCTGTCTTAAAAGGTGTGACATCCACAGATTTTATTGCATCCATTGACACTTGCACGTGTCAAATTTAAACCCCATTTAGCATGTATAGGAATTTTGATGACTTGACTAAATTCCTTGCAGCCACACCCAACAAACTACTAAGTTATGGACAGTCCTGGAACATAATTGCGTAGATCATCCCAACAACAACAGGACCCCACTATGTAGACTTCATGGCTTATATTTTCCAAGTTCTGAAGTAATTATGAATTAAACACTGCTAAAATAACTTTCTATGCTAAGCAACAACTAAAAAATGTAAAATAATGATACCTGTCTGGAGCACATTGTAAGCTATGGAATTTAATTCATGTGTTGGATTGGAGTCAGATGTAAAAACTTCAGGTTCAACATACTCAGGCACTGGATGACTGTGATATGGCATGACATAATCATGGAAAATAATTGACTGACTGAGATGATTATCTTCTCGCTGTTTCAGCATGATACTGGCTTCATCAATGAGCTGAAAAATAAACAAGGCTTTCAGTTGTTGAGGAAGAAAGAATGATAAATATTTGAATATTAATTTATATGGCAACAAATATTTGTAGAGATTCAAATGCTTCTGTGCATCCTTGTATAATGCTTCTTCCACAGCCTGGATAAAGGTTGTCTTACTTCCCATAGATCCATTAATATTTCAGGCTTGAAATATCAAAAAGGGTATATTGCTTTCCAAATACAAGAAAACTTTCTCCAAAGACAATCCTATGAATGTGTGCTGAAAAGTTCTTGACCCAATTTTTTTTTCACAAAATATGTATTTCAATGACCAAACATCAAAATCCTTTTGGGGATGGGGAAGGTTAAAGGAATTTGAGAAAAGATGTGCTGTGTTGAACTGTGAGAGTGGAATAGCATGTATGGCTTGAGGTTGTTCACCTCTCAATCAGGCCCAAAATCTTTTCAGTACCCCAACATAAATAAATGTCCTGCAAGTTATTTATTTGAAAAAAATTGAATTGCCATTCAAAAACAAATTTGGGAAGAGACTTGTTACAACCTGTATTTAGCCACTTTTTCTTGATTTATTTATAAAAATAAAAAATCTTCATATCAAAGAGTAAAAATAAAACAGATAAGGTTAGAGAAATTTATTTCTTGAGGAATTTCTTTTTGATTATTTTGCAGAAATACAAGAGATCTGGAAATGCAAAGAGCACTTTTTAAAACCAAATAAAATTTTTCTTTGTTATTCAAATCTGAACTTCATAGATTTTCACTTAGAATTTACAAAAAAAGTTCCATAAAGGTTATGTGGCTCCTACATGTACATTTGTATAAGAAAAAAAACACACACACAGCAAAGTTTAGAGTGATGACATCATTTTTAACCCTCTTATTGCTTAAAACTGAAATGTCCATCCTAAAGTCAGAAGCAAAACCATTTTTCCACTGATAGTCATACACTAATAAAAAAAAAAAAAAAAAATTACCCTATCTGGAAGACAGACATCAACATTAGAAGCAGAAGACCATGAAAGATAAAATTGTAAATATTTTTGAAAATAATTTGCAAAATATCAACAAAAACTTAGGAGATTTATACTTGATAAAATATTTAACAAGCTCAGCTTAGCACAAGGAAATTGCAGTTTATGGAGAAAAAAAAAAAAAAAAAAGTAAAGAAAGCTTATATTCTGGCCTTTACCTGAGCTTGAACACTGATTACTGGTGTAAATAGGAAAGTATTCAATTACCTCAACCACCAGACAACCTCACAATCTCCCAAATTTATTAAATAACACAAATATGGTTTTATTTACATTATTCAAACTATTGTTCTCATCTTTGTTGCCATATTTATCACAAGATTTCGGCCATTGTACACACCGGCCTTCTTCAGGTGTTTGGAATCTCAAACTGAATCCTTTATTTCGCTCAATGGGGTAGACTGTTCTAGTTCCACATGCCATGTCTACTAAATTCTTTGGGTCCTGGAGTTCTGGTAAAAAACATGCAATGATAACAGCAAAAATTGCAATATGATCATTGGTAAAATGGTTGCTGAAGACATTAAGTTTATAAGTCCCAGAAATTCATACACATGGCACAGTGGTTAGATCCAGTGACAGGACCCAAAGAGTTATGAGTTCAATACCTGGTTAAGGCAGTGGAGAACTTGGAGAGGTGAATTAACAGGAGATAACTGACATCCATTAGATATGGCAGGTGTACCTAGAACAGTCTACCAAGCGAGCAAAATAAAACATTCCAACCCCCTGAAGAAGGCTGGAGCGTACAACGGCCAAAATGTTGTGCTAAATATGGCAACAAAGATGAGGACAATAGTCCAAATAATGTAAATAGCATACATAATACGTCATCTTGGAAATAGAGACAGATACAAATATGGCTTATTGAGTGAATGCAAAAAATTCATTTAACTTCAATAAGACACTGTGAATTTATAAATTTTTGTTTGATGCAACACATTGAGCTTACAAACAAATCCCCACCACCACCCTGCCTCCACCAAAAAATACTGGAGCTCATATCTGGACTTGTATTAGACTAAAGTCATTGCGTTTGAGATTTAGGTTAATAAGAATATTTTAAAATTTAGTATGTCTAATAACAGCTTTCCAACCATGCACAAACATAAATCATCAAAAATATATTATTTTTCAATTTTAATGCCTAAACACAAAACAAAACTACAGCTAATTTCTTCTTGTTTAGGGAGGCTGAAAATATATTTTATATGAAATTATGCACAAATAAAGCCACTAAGACACAAACAGTTATTGAGTATTAGAGAATAAGTAAAAAGAAAAAAAAAGAAGGATTATTAAGGAGAAAGAACAATAATAGAACAAGAATTAAAAAGACAAAATAATGATTGACATTGCATTTAAATTTTTGAAGATCAAATTTGACTAGAAAGCAAGAAAGTTCCACAAATGAGAAGTGTGACAGAAGAAACTATTAGCATAGAACTTACACTTACCATCTCAACTGTAAAATGACGAGACATTGCCACCAACCTAGTACTGCACTTAAATTTGTAAAGTTGAGTTACCAAAGAGGAAAGATCATCAAAACAATTACCATGTAAACATTTATAGAAAAGGCACAGGGAAAATTAGATGTTACAGTAATGTGAAAGTGACTGAAGCCAAGATGCCAGGTCAGGACCAATAATATTGCAGATTCTTTTGTATTTTATCAGGAATCTCTAAATACATAGTAGAAGCACCAAACCAGATGTGACAGAAATATTCAATGTATGGACAAATGGTAGACTTATAAATATGTAAAATAGATTTGGTCAAGAAAAAAAATTGTCTAGCATCCAGTGACCAAACTTTCCTAGCAGCAGACCAATTGATTCAATACAATATTTCCACTTCATGTCATTGGAAAACGTTAGCCAGAGAAGGTGCAAGGAGTCACTCTCTTGGAGGTTAGCATCAGCTGCACTGATGGAAGGCAAAAAAGGTTCTCTCAGATGATTAAGAGAGAGAAGTTTTGTTTTTGGATGCATTAAAATTAACCATTTCTTACCCCAGTTAACAACAGATTATAGGTCATTTTTGAGACCAGCTGCCAATTCAATGTTATCGTACCAATCAAATTTATAATTAAAACAAGAGTAAATAGTTGTGTCATCATCAGAGATACTGATTTGTGGTGACACTAAAATTAAATGCAAGACAAATATTTCTATTTACAATCCAAATTTAAGAGGTGAATAATTTATAAATAAAGTCACATGCATACATTATATTGGGTTGCATAAGAAAATAACATTTAGGTGTGCAACAACAATTTTCAAAGAGACATTTTTTCCAGTTGCACACAGAATCTTAAGAAATATAAAACAATGTATCTCTGCTAATATCAGAACTTTAAAAAAGTAAATGCTACAAACATTCTTATATGAATTTACTATATATATGCGTGGGAAAAAATGATATATAAATTTTTATATACCAGAACAATAAGTCTGACCATAATTTTGATTAAAGGAAGGCAATTTAATAAGATGAAAGTATATAGAAAGCACTTTGATCACTAGATTATCCACTGTAAATTTGTGTCCAGGTTCTTATAACATTTCACCTTTCTTGGCAGATCTTCTAAACAAAAGTAATAAAATTATAAATAAAAAGACGAAACTAAATTAAATTGGTTAGACTATACACCCACAAATATTAAAATAAAAAAAGATTTAAATTTAAAACTTCTGCCATCCTGAAGAGCCTCAATTTAGCACTACAGTGGGGTGCAATGGAGCTGCATCTCTTCACAGACTCCACATGTGTGCACTGGTGGGTATTGGACATGCTCACTGACAAAGCCAGAATATGAACTAGGGTGGCAAGTGAGATGCTGATTTGGCGGTATTTGAGTATTCTCGAAAAGATGGTCAAAGAGTACAAGTTATTGATCACCATAAATTTAGTGACATCAAGCAAATAAGTTCACAAGAGTACCACAACAATGATATGTGATCAAGTAGGAGGTCAAGCCAGCATGACTTATACGCTTCAATGGTGAACAAAATTTCTCCAGACCAGATAAGTGCCATACATTGCCAGAGTGGACATCCTGGTGTCAGACGGATGCTGCATTTAGTGAGAAGAGTTCACCTCATAACATCCAAGGTGGCTGTCAGGGAGAGTGGTCAGAATATGTAAAGAATGCCAGTCGACTGACCCAGCCTCAAGTTGTTGACTATGACGCAACTTAAATGCCACTGGAATCTGGACCCACTTGGAACTGGATATTACCCATTATGGTGGACAGCCTTGAGTGACTGTGGCCTCAGTCGATTTGTGAGATGGCAACATCTGCTTCAGTAAGATTCAAGAAGTGTCACCTGACAACTGGAAACTACTTTTTTGAACAAGGGCCACCATTAGAAATTCTAACCGACAAAGACGCAGCATTTCATAGTAAGTTCTTTAAAGATTTCTTGGATGACTGAGGAGTCTAACTCCATTTCCATTGCTTACATGTTCCTGCAGGAAACAGTATAGTAGAAATATCTCATTGAAACATAAAGAGAATTGCAGCAATAAAGCACTGTTTGATAACAGAGGCAGTGTACTGGCATAATATCATGCTGAAGATTGACACATCATCTACTACTGTGCCTGCCAATATGAATCACCATTAACAACTTAGATTGAAGGGAATTAGTACAACATTACCACCTGATCGTTGTAAGAATCATTTCATGTAGAGAGTTAGGAACAGAGTGTCGGCAAAAGCTCCCTACAGCTGGTGTACACCATGTGTCAAGTGGGTTGCATGATAGACATTGTAAATCCACAAACAATAATGGTTGATGGGATGCCTCGATATGTAAAAGACCTTTACCTTTTCATAGGTTCTGGTAGATTGACGTGCAACTCTGATGACGATTTATCATTGGAAAGTGATCAAGTAATTGAGCTCTGTGAATCCAATGTTTCCACAGATACGGAGGTTCCAGAAACTCCGGATAGGCCTGATGACTCCTCAGGAGACAACCCTCCAACACACATAATGGTCCCATTCGAAGCTCCAGGCAGTCTGATTTGTGATCATGAATCGAGTGGGAGTGGAGTAAAGATAATGTTGAATTATCTCAGCATGTGAACTTGCTTATACAACCGTCAACCAATGAAAAGAAAATTATTCCATCAATAAAAGTGGTTGGTATTTAGAAAACAACAAGCATGGAGTTCATGAGGATTTTTTTGCATTTTGGCATGTTTTGCTTTGGCATGAGACTGTTGGATGGTGCAGTAGATTTCTAGCAGTTTATATGGGATTTTTGACATTGGACATATGAATCATGCTTTCAACATTTCTTTCTGCCCCCTGAATCTTCAAGTTTGGACTCAATATTTGTTTTGAACTTGAGCTGCCACATCAATTTCCTTAAAATGATAAATACTGTCTTCAGCAAAATTCTGTCAAAGAATATGTTAATAAAAGTTTATATTAATTTATGAACTGATTACGTCATTAATTTTTTTTTTTGCATCCAACCAGAAATTATTAGAAAAGACTAAATCATTTTTTGTTGAGTTGATAGAAGGGAGAGAACTGTTGTCGTCAAAAAAAAAAAAAAAATCATTTTAATTAAATTTTTTTTTTTAGACAAAAATCTGTTGAATTGATGACTAGTAAATGTTGAATTGTTAGAAACAAAAAGTATTTCCACACAAAATATACATTTAAATGTCAAAAAAAAAAAAAAAGAAAAGAAAAAAAAAGTATCAAATTTCAGTTTGCAGCTTTTCTAAAATCTCTTTACCATCTCCATTATTATTTTGACTAGAAAATGAAGTTAAAATAAATGAGTTTCTCTTTTCAACATTTTCACTTCACTGCCCGAATATTGTTTTCTTTCATCTTTTCATTTTAGAAAATGTTGTCAAGAGATGTTGTTAGAACATCAACTTCAATATGAAAAGTATTAAATGATATTAAAAAATATCAAATACTTTGTGATCCATGTATTTATATGAAAATGCAATAGTCCTAGACAAAATATGCATCTATACATATGCAAATGTATTTGTTAAAAGCTTCAACTTTTTCTTTCCATGCTACTTTAAGTTTTCCAGTTTGCAATGTTTTTCTAAAAAAAAAAAAAAATAAAATAAAACCTGCAACTCATTTATTTGCAAGTAAATTTTGAAATTTTCTAAAAAGTTTTTTCAAAACAAAAATTGCAATTCTAAATTAAATTGTTTATTTTTCTTTTTACTTAACAAAAATCAGCCCTCTGAAGTAGAAAATTCATTAAAGGTAAAATAAATGATGGCATCTTCAAAATTTCCTGAAATATTGAAAGCAAAAATGTTGGAACAAAATAGTTAAATCTGATGAGAATGGATGTCAAATTACTTACTTTCGTGATATGGTCCCGAAATTCAGTTTCATTTGTTTGCACAGAGGCCGGACGTTCATGCAAGGAAATCTTCCCACCCCTCTCACACTCTTTGCCAATGTCCATGTAAAGGGTTGGAGCATAATCAACATCATACTTGTTTTTACTGATTGAACCAGATTCAAAATGAATTGAACAAATTCGAGTGCTGTTGTTTGGTTCCCAACTACTGTGGCGGGCAATTGCTTTGATGAATTTACAGCGTTGATCTTTGCCTCTTGGAATTCGGTAAAAC